ACGCTTTGAGCAGCACAGTTCTACACCAGTCATAATATTTGGGCTTTCGCGCCAAAATCAAAAAGATCGAAAGTAAAAGCAGCGGTGAACAGCACTTGAAGAGCAACGCCCTCAACAAAAGCAACAAGAGAACTAGCAGCTGTACAAACAGGGTCCGCAGCTTCACAGACAAGCTCGCTCCCAACAGCTGAAATAATTCCACCAGCACAGGCGAGCAGCAGACAGCAAAATCGACAATGAAACTAGCAGCAGCGAACCTGCAAAATGGACTGCCAGAAGCCTCGTTCAACTCGCATTGTGTTGCTCCCTACTTCCTGTTCTCTGAAGTGCGCAGCAGATAAAGTCACAGCGGACAGGGGCGTCAAAATATCAGTTGTGAGTAGTGCTCCAGACATTCGCAGCATAAATGGACAAACAGCAAAGATGGCAGATAAGGCTAGCTCATGTGTTTTAGTCTGTTTGAGCTCTCCAACTACGACTGCTCACAAATACTCCTAAAGAAACTTTCCCCTTCTAAACTGTCAGTTCGATGCAGCCGCATCCCATCATCAACTGCTTTACATTCAGACAGCTTTCATTTTCCTTTTCTCACCTGACGGGCCAAAATGCCTTTTCAACGAACTCCCTCAATGTCTCTTGGCCTAGAAGGTTGATTGTAGCGCCGCACTTGGAGCAAAAACGTGCCTCTGAGTTCAACAGCAAAGAAAACAACAGATACCAAATGCAGCCTCAGCCTCAGCCCACCCGCAGCCCCAGCAGCAGCACGAGTTCTCAAGCGAAAAGCACTACAAACCTTTCAGCTCAAAAGCTTCAATACGAAGAAGCAGCCAAAGACATGGCTCTGGAATCTCAGTTATCGCAGTTAGCTACGCGAAAGATCTTCTGTATTGTAAATAATTGCGGGGGAATTCGTGCGTCACTTAGTGAACTGAAGTCCTGCACATGAACTGTTGCTGTATTTGTGAACTGAGCCAACTAAGCACTTGCAGCTCTCTTCTAGGGACAAGAATGGTTGATTATGTAACTAATAACTTTTGCAAACCGGATTTTCCCACCCACAGCAGCAAGCGCATGCAGACTGCTGACCACAGTCGCACTTCACTATATCAACCGGGGATTGAATCGGCGCAAATTGGCAGAAATGTGCAATTTGTGAATTTAACTTGTGCTTGTGCATGCATTGCCAGAGAAATGTGCGAATTTAACTTGTGCTTGTGCATGCGTGGCCACTTAATTCATGTGCTCACTGCTAGACAGTCGGTGGTTACATCTGTGGCATCGGCTGGGGGTTGGTTTTTCGGAGGAAGCTCCTACCGGCAGCTCAGCTGTCCCCTCTGCCTCATCCTGAGCCTGCTGCTGCTGCTGCTGCTGCATAAAGTCATTCTGTTCCGCCACAAAAGCCAGAATCTTCTGAGTTGGGGCCACCGCCAGCAGCCGCGCTATCAATTCACTTCTAGTGCCTTTGCTGGGCAGCTGCATCTTCCTACAGGCCGTACGCAGGCCAGTGATTGGAACGCCACAAAGTCCATCTTTATTAGATGAATTCGGCGGTGAAGTTGAATCTGCAGCACCAGCATCTTCCAGCGAAACGGGCGTGCAAACAGCCCCTGCGGTGTTGGGCGGAGGGTCTGAAGCTCCAGGGGCTGCTGTTTGGCTGCCTTTTTGTCCTGAGACGCAGTCACTTCCACTCTTTATTGCAGGTGGTGCTGAAATTTCTGCTTCTCTTTGCACCTGGCCACGTTTTCTTTTTGGTTTTGACGCCGCAGCTCTGCCTCCATCCGCAGGTAACGCTGCTGCTTCAACTGCTGGTCTCTTTGCTGTTGAGGCTGTCTTCGCCCGACTTGGCGTTGCATTGAGGCTAGAAGAAAGTACAAGAGATCGGGGGGCTGCAGATGTGAAGGCAAACGAGGCCTTTCTTTGCACTTCCTTTCCAGCAGCCACAGCCAAGTGCTGCCCCAGTAGCAGCCCAGGTAAGCCCCGCCTGCTGTTGCCTTTGGTCCAAACCGTTAGACTTGCGGCCTCCGAATTGTGCACAAGACAGAGGAGAAAGCCAAGGAGAAAGACGGCAAGTCTGCATTTCATCTTTGCTTGTTAGCTTCATCCTAGACTTCAGCGATTGGAGCGAACCACCGTACAGAACCGGGCAACTTTCAGCCCTCGGCGTTTTCTAACTAACATCATTCGCCCCTCCAAGAGCCCCGTCTTTGCTCATCGAAGCTGCATACCCGAAAGGTTTCGCCTTAGCAGAGACACACCTATTACGTGTGCACAGACACTTGCAGCGACCACACTCATGAGTCTAGCGGCTGGACTTCGGCCTCCTGCTCTGCAGCAGCGCCGCAGCAAAAGTCATATTTCGGCTTTTTTTGATGCTGTGCGTCGAAAGATGCACTCCCTGTAGAGAAAGATGCGTTGATGTTGTTGAGCGCTGCGTCCAATATCATGTGTCTGCACAACGCTCGAAAAGGCGGGAGAAGCTGAGCTCTAAGCCCCTTTTCTGGATGTTACAGTGGATTCAAAAGCACACGAACTCCCTGCAGTCTCTGGCCTTTGCGGAAATAGGCACCGAAGGAGGACCACGGCAATGAACTCAAGAGACGAGATCAAGAACCTAAATGCAACATGAAGCGATGCGGTAAGAGAAACACAAGAAATTCGAGACTGTATACTCCTTGTTTATATAATTTTTCGATTTCCTCTTTGAAATAACGTCAGCGAGCGGCTTATCTGCAAGAATGGGGGGCCGCTTCAAAGGCCAGAGCAGACACAGTTACTAGGCTGCAACCAGATGACCCTGCTGAAGGCAGCGCCTGCGCAGGAGGCTCAACGCCAAAGTGCCAGCTTTTTGAATATTTTTTGCATATTTCAAGAATTAATGATTTCTTTTTGCGGTTTTGTCAAGAAAACACGCCAGTTTCTTCGGCCCGTCAGTAGAAGTGGCCATCCCACCTACGTCGAAGCTCACACGTTTAGTTGAACTGATGGAACCTGTGTAAGTTACAAGTCCTCTGGCCTCTAGGACGACTCTGCGTGTTTAACTTTAAGTGATATATTGTAGCGCTGTAGTCTCTCGCTGGATCACGCACCACTTCGCAGTGAAGAGAAAGCAACAGATGGCACTTCGGTGTTTTCCCGCACAGTCGTTGTTCGGCTTCGATATCTTTGGCCGCTACTTGAGCAACAGGCAGCATTGTTGAGGGAAATTTTTGGTAGTGCAGCAGTGATGCAACACCTATGGCGATGGAAAATAAAGGAGCAATCGATACATAAAGATCTACGCACATCGGCTTGCCTCTGCCACTGCTTGCAGAATCACAAACCCTGCAGTTTCTAACAGACCCATCACCAATTCTACAGAGAGGCAGTAAAGTGTGTGGTAGGAATGCACAATGGGAAACTTGATCTCTGCGCATGAAGGCGCTTTGAGCAACTGCGAAAGGAGTCGAATTTCTCATTCGCGCTCCAGACGCTGTTGCATGAGTTCGCGGAATGCTCCCTGATCTCCGCAGGCAGAGCTGAACAAGAATTTCTTTAGAGAACCAAAGTCCGTGTCGGCACTGGCTTGCGAAGTTTCCCGCACATATGCTCTCAATTGAATAGGACTACAATTACATTTGCGTTTAAAAGTGTCCATTAAGCCTCCCACTCATTTCAGCTGTAAGTGATAATAACTAAATGGCCCAATGCAGTTTGATGCTTTGTTTGTTTGCCTTATCATTCTCGTGGGGACTTGCAGTAGCCAACAGAATGCGCAGCAACCACGCTTTCTCTTTCACCGGCAAGATGAAATTGCTCTTCGTACATGTTTGTTAGCTATACAGGCTCGTGAAAAGCAAGCAAATTGAAAGCCGCAGCAGTTTTTCTTTCACATTTAAGGGAGCGAATCGCTTGTCTTCCGTCTCTCTGACTATGCTGGCTAGCCCACAGACAAGGAATATTATGAAATACTCTATCAACATGAAATTTAACTTTGCCCCGCAGGAACATTGCTCGTGCTCTTGAGATCTGTGTTCATCCCATCAGTGTGCGGCAGTTACGCAGGCTGGTGGTGAGGCAAATATTGATACGCCAATTTTGACCCGCCAGACAGATCCACTGCTGCTTTTTAAATAAGTTCCATTGTGTGTGTCTCATGTGAGCGTGCTTTTTGAGCCAGTGCGAGCGCAACTTCAAGTGCCTTCAGCCCCACACCAGCTTCCTATGATCTTCAGTGTCTCTCTGGCAGTTGAAACGGAGCTTCTACCCCAGTACCCCCTGAGCACGCCTCGAGATAACGGCACAGAATTGAAACGTCAATTTTTTTAACGCCACGAGTATATTCAACAGGCAGGTTGACCATTAGATCAGAGCTTTTTGGCTCAGTCACCCGTGTCCCTTGCGGTGCGCTTCTACAGTCTTGCCACCGGGCATGGTCTGCTTGCCTAAAGCAGATTTTAGAGGCAAAAGGCCTAGTCTGCAACAAGTGGCCTGTTACTGGAAACTATTAAATATGCTTTCGAACAATAGTTGCTGAAGGATCTGTGGGCGAAAAAAGGAAAAGTGTTACGCTGCTGTTAACTGCGGACAACAGAGGTGAAAGTCGCCTTCTCCCAAACTACTTTGCTGCCTTCCACTATTTTTTCACTATTTCTGAGGGAAATTCAATAAAAAGAAACATTTTTTCACTAGAGGCAATGTGGTGCGAAGGCAGACTAGGAGCAGATACTATCTTGGCCCACAGAGCCACCGGCTCTGCATCCTTTTTGACCAGTTGCAGTTCGTTCAAAGGCATGCGCCCGATTTGTAAGGGTTCGCCAGCAAACAAATAGCAGGTTTGGGGTCTGTTGCTGTGTTTTAGCATAAAAGAATACTTAAAGGCGAAACATTAATGAACTAAGTGGCTAGTGGATTTTTTGCGTCTCACGGAGCAGTCTCGTTATTGCGGCAACTGCTCAGAAAGGTGTCCGCGCCTGCTAGCTTTTGTATCTTTTGCTTTTACCCCTGTGAAAATTTAAGAAACGATGGTCGGTCGCTATCCCGTGATTGCCTTTCTTTTGGTTTCACTGTTGTGGGGAAGTTGCCTCTGCTCGGCGTTGGGCCGTTCGGCAGGGCCCGCTTTGACACAGGCCGTTAAAGACAAAGTTTCCGAGCCCGTGAGAAGGCCGCCGTCTGCAGAAGCAGCCGATAGGCCAATCCCTCAAGTGAAGGCTAGCGAGGAAATAGAAGAACAGGGACCGCCTGCGCGTCCTCTCTTGAAGAGGCCTAATACGTGGGCTGTATTGTTTGCTGTTCTGGGACTCGCCCTGGCCCTGGGATACTCCGCTACCGCTCTCGATACTGCGGTGAGCAAGATCTACATGTCCTCGCAAGCACTGTAGTCTTCACTCGACACGTCTGTGGGGGATTCTCCTTGTGCATCACTTGGTGGCGCGCAGCATGAAACGGACACCGTAGACGAAGACAGCAGCGAGGAAGAGGACGAAGACATAACTTGGAAATCAGGAGGAGCAAGGCCCCAAGAACAAGCCGTGAGCAGTGAATGGGGCCGCAATTCCACGACGTCTAAGCTGCTTTCTCGAAAATGGTTCTTTTGCAGTTTGCAGTTCATCTGCAGAGCAAAAGTTTTCCAGCTGCCACTTTTTATTCCAAATGCTCCACGGAGGAAGATCAAGACAGCGCTTTTACATCTCGTTCCCCTCAGCGAAACTCCCTTCTCTGCGCATTTCCACTGTGTGCTTATTGATCCACTCAGGCTGCAACATTTTACGATGTAATTGACGGGGTAGCAAGCTCCAGGGAGTCTCAGCCGCTTCTCAAGAATGAAAAAGTTCAAGCTCCGGTGCGTTACTAGAAGACAACTGTTAATGGCAGACTTGCAGTCGAAGCCATCCTAAAAACGAGAGCATGCATTCCCACAACTTGAGGTTCTCAGGAGCAGGGCTCTGGCTTCAGCTAGTCCAGATGTGCCATTGGCCTTGATGCAGCGTTTGCAGGGCCTTTACTTACAGGTCACAGTGCATTGGTGTCTCATTTATTCTGGCAACGTCTGCGCACGATTTTATTGTTTGGAATGTGTCCTTGTTGCTTTTTCGCATGCCCACTTGCTTGTATTTCCAGGGAGTCTAAGTGTGTTCTTACGTCAAGCAGGACTTCAGAAAAGAGTGGTGCCCATGTCCTATTCCTCTATTTTTCCCGTGTTTCATCTGCTCACTGCACCGCGAACTGGCATTCGCAAGCTTCTCAACGAGCTTTTCATTACAGTTTATGCACCGTAAGGGGAACGTAATGCCAAAATGTTTTTGATTGTGCAGCAGGAAAGACGAAAAAAGAGGAAGAGGCAATCGCCGTGGCAATGGCTTTTAGAGAAAATGGGAAGAACTTTTTATTCGTTTTACTTCTTGGTAAGGCTGATGAAGAGAGAAATTTCGCAGTAGCCCACGCCTATACGGGCCAGCAGAACTGCTGGAACTTTCATGTCTGCACTAGGTAGGCAGCTGTCTTCAGATTACAACTGAAAATATCGACGGACACGCTCAACGCGTGCAACTGCAATTCCCTGAAACCCAAGCCTTCCTTATTGTGTGTATGTGCAAACAGGGTTCCACTGGTCCTTCTGATGACTCACCACCAAACAGCCCCTTCGTGAGTACAAATTCCCTGTTAGTAATTGCTTCTGATTCTTATCGAACCTTACATTTGCATGCAGACTGAAAGTGCATGTTTGCCTCAGAGGCCCCCGACGTATGTGGCCCCCGTTCTAGAAGACAGCCCGACTGCCTCTGGAGTACGCTTTGGCTTTTTAAATGTTAATTCAGTCAGTCCTTACGTCAACAGAAGAAATGCCGAGTGGGTATTTGAATAATGTTGCATCAGATGATAGTGGTGTGCCTGTCCAACTTGTCTCTCTGCAGGCATCCTGGCCTGGGCCTCCGAGTGAAGAAGGCCGCAAATAATGCGGAGCAATAGACATCTAACAGGTAGGAAAGGTTTTTTTACACCAAAGATCGGGAACAACGCTATGAACACCCCTAGATAGTAGATAACTATAGGGGTGTGCGGCCTGTTAATCGATTGCTGTGTTGCGACTAAATAAGGCCAGAAGTACAAACTGAAAGAACCACATTTTTCCCTTGATGGCCACGCAAAGCGGAGTACTGATACGTTCCAGCGCTTGCTCTGCACGCAGTGACAATGAGCAAAGTCCGACAGCAGGACATTTTATTTGCGTTTGTGAATCCCACCCCTTCACCTGTAAATGTCGTTCATTTGAAATTGGTTTTCTCCTCGTTTTGCATATATTTTTTCGCGGCTGTTGCTTTGCTCCAAATATACAAGCAATGCGCCTTTCGTGCCAACTGAGCAAGTAAAAGACTCTTGCGGCCTATTGCATTGGTTGACCTCACACTGCGCTGAACGACGAAGCACAGCAAGCTTTGGTTGTTTTAAAGGGTTGTGCCAGCGTGCATATAGCTTCCAACTTCAACAATACAGCAGCTACCACAGACACATTAGGGCACCAAGGGCAACCAATGCAACGCGAGTGAGTACATTTCCAGAAAGAGACACAGGAGCCAGAATAGCCAAAAGGCAAGCGAAGGCAGCTGCTGGGAAGTACACGAGGCGAGCTGAACCAAAACAGGCAACTACAGCCATGTGCTGCAACGGGCTGTATGGAGATGAAGTCACCGAAGCAAAGGGAAAGACAGCCTGCTATACGCAGATCATCCAATCATCCAAGAAGAAGCTTCAGTAGGGATCCTCAGAAAGGCGGTCGGTGGCATTCTTGCTGGGCTCCTCCAAAACGAGCAGATTCCGCAGAGAAAAAACGCTCGTTGCATGGACGCATTAAAGAGTTCATCGGAAGCAATCTATGGCGTCAACCACGGACAGCAATCGTAGTGAAGCTGATAGCTGAAACTTGCGAGGGGCCGCCAAACTGTGCAAACAGGCAGAAAAGTGGGCAAGGTTTAGTCAAGGGAGAAACCCGTAACTAGCCGTTTTTCGGTTGATGGGTTTCCTGTCCGTGACTCCTAGAAGGCTCTCCTTTGGTACTGCGAAGCCCTTAAACGCGCAGCGGAAGCGTGCTGCGGAGTCGCGGGAAGGCGGGAAGTGGCATTTCACAAAGTCCAGACTGGTGCAATCAAAGAAGTGCAACTGCGAAACTCCACGCGATCTGCACGATGCAAATAAGCATGCAGTGGAAGTTCTTGTTGGCTCTGGCCAGCCCAGGATCCTATCAGGCGGGAAACCGGCCCATGATCCTATCAGGCGAAAAGCAGCAGATTAACGCTTGCAGTAACAGCTTTGGGCTTCGCTGCTTCCAACTTCTCACCTTTGTCGCCCTTACTACACACAATACAAATAAGCTTATAAAGAGACAATTTAGTGTATCCTTCGCTATACATGCACAGTGCACTAGTTTGCATCGCATGAATCCTTCTGAAGAATGCAGCTATGTATCAGGTGACGCTTGGCACATCCACGGAGAAAACGTTGAAGTACTACTGTGACTCCGCCAATTTGCAGAGATCGCACGAAGTGCACGGTTAAACACTTTCCTCAAATGCAACACTAGGAAAGAACTCAGATAACCATTCAGGAAGCTTTACAGCAGTATATTTCTTCGGCACAGGACCATCCGCACAAAGGAGATGCCGCATCCCCGCAAAGACCATCAGGGTCGTTCCAGCGTGAATCCACGTAAAAGGAGTCCTAGCTTCTCAAGTCCCACAAAAGACCACACAGCCCTTCAACTATTCTACCAACCACCTTGCAGCACGATGCAGACAGCCCTGGGAGAGTTTGCGGTTGACACTTCGTGAAATGTTTAGGTGATTGGGAAATGCGGCCGATGATGGTGATTGGGAAATGCGGCCGATGCTACTATGCAGTGCCCTAATGAAATGGTTCGCTGTCACCTTGTCAAGAGACCTTCAGGTGCTCCCGCTTGTAGGTGAAGCTCTCTGGGTCCTGAACATCTGACCCCGTCATTACATCTTTACTGAAACACGTATATTCGCCAAGTTTCCGGAGTGCCTCAACAGCTAAGCCAGAACGAAATGGGAGAGTTAGTGCACTGCAGAAGCACTAATCGGCTTCAACGTAAGCGTGACTCCAGTCACCACCACTGGATGCTCAGTTAGGCTCACTTTTATTCGACAATGATGCCACGTTTTGCCACCACTCACAAGCATGCGGTGTGTCCAGCGCATGTGGAGTGTGTAAGTAGAGACACATGCAAACAATGCAACACAATCCACATTATAGACACAAGCACCTTGCCAGTCAGCAATGCCAACATGCCAGGATACACGGTTACGGCCTTCTGCTTTGAGTCCACGTAGCAGGCCGAACTATCCCACCTGCAGTCCCCAACAGCCCAACTAGTGCACAAGATATAATTATGATTCTGAATACAAGCTCGGAATTGCATGACAGTGTGCGTGCTACGTCACACACAGCCTTGCTAAACAGGAACAAACGTAGGCGCTGCTTATAACCGTCTGGTTTCGGACCGCACAGGATGCGCGTCTTTGCTCAAGACTCACAGATATCGTGCACAGTGCCTCGCACTTTAATGCATGGTTGCTGTGTACATCAGCTAATGTTTAGAAGACTGGTGAATGCGTCAATAAAAATAGTTGGTCATGAGTCTGTAGTGTGTTTAGTCGAAGTCACTCACACCACATTCTACAACGGAGACCCCAAATCCTGCCATCATGACCTCAGCACCACATTATAAACAACCTTGATTAACGTCGCAACTCTTCAAATTTGTTAGGATGAACACGTCAAGATCCTTATAAGCACAGTGGCACTGCGCCCATAAAGCAGGTACTCACAGGCTGCAGCCCCCGAGTAGTCTCACACGTTGAACCCTAGAATATAGAGCTCTTTTCAAGAGTGTGGACTCTAAATATTATACCGTGACGCCAAAAACATATGCCCCAAACCGATAATTATTTACCTGTTGACTGCTAACCTTTTATTTCCTTCCCTTAACGCCAGCGCAACCCATTGGTGTGAGCCGCAAAAGCAGCTGTATGTGTGCCCTGGACCTTGGGCGTCCCGTTGCGTGTTATATTAAATTCATATATTTTTTTCATAGTAATGGATGCGTGGAAGACGACAAACATTTCGGGCTTTGCGCTTCAAGTCAACGACACAGAAGCCGAAGCAGCAGCACCAGCTGCTGCAACGCCAGCAACGTTGGATTAGCAGCAACCGATCACACTTTACTGAGGACATCGCTTCAGTACAAATACAGTGCCAACAATATCAATGTCCCGAAGCTTCCGCACCTCCTCAGTAGCAGCAATTATCGTAGACACCACTGGAGTAGCAGAGGCAGCAGCAATGCAGCAACAGTTAACTGCAGCTTCGGGCTGAATATTTCAGCGAGTCCATGTGAGGAATAGGTGAAACATCCAAGGTAATTAAGGCCATCGCAGCACTAACAGAAGGAAGAGAGTTTTTGGATGAGTTCGTCGTGTTAGAAATGGGAAATGTACAGCAGCTTGGCATTCAGGGAGAGGGAGGAGTCTCGGGCGGAAGAAGGGGCTGGTTTCGGGGCAGCAGCGGAAGCAGCAGCACGGCAAGCAGTAGCAGCAGCAGCATGAACAGCAGCAGTAGCAGTATGAGAAAGAACGACAGGAGCATCGCAGCGTCAGCATCATCGCCAGCAGAAAACCCGTGCAATACGAAATCAACAGCAACAGCAGCATCAGAAGAGGCACTGAAGTTAACTTTCGCACCAGAAGCAGCAGCAGCTGCTGCGGCTGCAGCAGCGCCAACGGCAACACCGGCTAGGGAGGCGCTTGTGCCTTTTTCCCCAGAAGAAGGCCGGCGAGAACTGAGTCGTAGATGGGGAAATACAACAATGTTTAAAAGGCAAGTGACTATACTGGGTCAAAACCTCGGGGTTTGCTGCTTAACCTGCTTGTCCTGCTGCAGCACATGCTTTTTCCCTTTGTTTCCGCTCCATTCAATCAAAGCAACACAGCTGTTCATTTGAGAGGTTCTTTTTTAGAGTGTGTGTTTAGACTTGAAAAGGAGAGGCAGACGTTCCTGCGAGAGGCTTTGGATGGGATTGTTTTGGTACTTCCTCTTGAGTATGCGGACCTTGATGCGACTGAGTTTCTTTCTGCTGCACACCCCCCCCGTCCGCAGCAGCAACAGTGGCAGCAGCAGCAGCAGCAGCAGCAAGGAGCATCTCAGCAGGAGGGGCTCGGGGATGGGCGTAGCTGTGGAAACACTTCTTCTGCGGCCATCAAAGCTGGACCCAGCAGCAGCAGCAGCAGCAACAGCAAGAACAGCAAAGCCGCTCGACTGCTTTCACGCTTTCCCCCGTCTTTGTTGCAGTACAGAGCAGCAGCTGTCGATGGAGTTCGATGGCTCGTTGCCATTGAAGGAGCTCCAGACACCGCATACGCAAACGATCCTTTCCTCCTGAGCTTCAAGTTCTTTCCGAAGTATCCCATTGGTGGGACTGAATCCCTGGGCCAGCAGTCAATTAGCTTTCTACTAAAGAGGAAGACATTTCTCCTCGGAGGCCGTGGATTGTACCTGAGGATTTAGAAATAGGAATCACCTCGTAGCATTTCTAGAGCCACTTCCAACCGAAGTCGCAGGCTAAGAACTTGCAAGATTCAAACACTGACTATGAGAGCAAGCCATTTCAAGAAAGCCTTAATACATGCCAAGTAGCCAGCAATACAGATAGTGCTACATGCCCTGAAGGGGGACCTGCCGCGCCGCGTGTAGTTCTTGACGAATTTGGGCTTCAAATGCAGCCGATGCACAATTTGTTTGTGTCTCTGCTGCTTCTGGATTTGCAGACTCTCCGGAGTTGGTATTCGTGGCTCCTTTTGTCCCCGTTCACCCCCACGTCTACAGCAACGGACATATTTGTCTCTCTATCCTGTATGACCAGTGGTCGCCTGCCTTAGGAGTCAAGGCGTGTTGCATTTCGCTGCTCTCAATGCTTAGCAGCAACACAGAGAAACAGCCACCAGTGGACGACAGAGTCTACTGCGACTCCAGGGGTTTGCGGGGCCCAAAAGGGGTCAAGTGGCACTTCCACGACGATACTGTGTAGCAGCAGTAGCAGCGGGGGCGGCTACTGCTGCATCAACTAGTTTTGCATGCACGGTTCTTGTGTAGTGGCAGTCGTCGCTGATTCTGGTGGCGCGAGGTACTTCGTGAAAGCCAGGTTTCCTTATCAACAGTACGCGTGCCAACAGCATAAACTGCTCGGGTAGCTGACTTTTAAAAAGGTGCAGGCTGCATGGGCAGTGATCATGGCTACCTTAGTAACTGTGTCCTGACCAGAAGTTTGCGAGAAGCTCCTCTGCGGCAACAAGCGCAACAGCAACAGTTGCAAAACCATCCCCAGAAACAGCGGCATCAAAAACAGCGCCCGCAGGTTGGTTATGTGGAGCTTGGCATTCTGTTGTGTTTCAAGAGACCAGACATGCATTTATTGCTGGGTAAAATTGCTCAGAAGTAGACAGGAACATCCTTTCAGGTCAATAAATTTGCTCATAACTGAAAGCGCTAGGTGTGATGGCATGTAGCAGCGCCATGCCAACAGGGGAATGACCACCTGCAGTTTTATTGGATATGGCTGGCTAGTTGTATAATGATAGGGTAGATAAGAGTGCACATTGGACTGCGGATCTGTAGCGGCACGTCCTGACAAAAAGCAGCAGAAGCTACAGATAATGGTACTATGACTTACTTATCCAAACATAAACGATGGTGACGATGCTGCGCGTACAAGTCCAGCCATGTAGTTTCTTCTCCGTGGAGCTTTTTCGCAGAAGCCGCATGACTGGCAGTAGTGGATGCGATACTAAGCATGGTTCACACAACAAGTGACAAGTGCGTCTTTCGCTTTTGAGTTCGTGGTTGATGGGCAATAATGCTCTGCGGTGCTCAGGAGCCCGCAGGCCTCCTCGCCAGACTGCCTCATCGGGGTTTCTGTTCTTCTTCAAGTGAGACATCAGTGGACCTCCCTTTAGCCGGCCAATTTTCAAGCTAGACGCCTTTTCGTTGTTCTCTGAGGCTGCTTCTGTGTTACAGTCAATGACGCCTAGAGCGAGGTACGGCCACTATATGGAGGGTAGCACTGCGCTGCTTTTTCTTTTGATTGGTCAGAAAGCTGATTCCTGTACGCCTGCACTGTGTAGCGTGACGATGCAGCCCAATCTTAATGATGCAGATTATAGCGCCGGCAAGGGCTTGTTGAGCGGTTTTTTTGCCTGGGTTGCATGAGCCTGTTTCCGAGCTATATCATGGTGCACTGCATCTCCGGGTGAGAGTCTTTTTCTTCCTGAGCTTTCTATTCTTAGCAGTTAATTTGGTGCTTTGGATCTTCAACCCATCTAGCTTCGTTTGGTCCCGAGCTTGCAGTAAAGAATCCACACACTTAGCACTCCATAGCTATTCCTTTTTGTTCTGGACAAAGCCGCGCAGGTCCAGCTAGTCGTGCCAGACTTTCTTCTGGAAGCTAGTGCTTAGCTGCTCCTGAAGGCGCTGTTTAACAATTAGTTCCACATGCGACATTCTACCTACTGCGGATTTCGATTTATCAGCGCAGCTGCTTTCACTGTAATACTGGTTTATAGGTAAGAATGAAAACGTTTTCTAGTAGTCAGAAAGCCTTCTTTCCCATGCTCAGCTTGTGCACACCAGTCCTTAACAGTGCTCATGGATGATCTGTCATAGAACAAGTTGACGATGAAAGGAAGAACGTTCCACAGTGCGTTCCTCAGCGATCTACCTAACTCAACTGTCGTGCGACAGTCTGAACGAAGTGGCGAAACCGCATCTGTGGGGGACGCATGCATCGCCGTCACCTTCGGAGTAATGTCCTAACAGAGTGCAGGCACGTGCTGATCTATACACGAGAATAACTACAAGCAGTCAATGAAAATGAGCAAAATAGTGTGCCAGAGCACTGGCTGGTGAGTGATGTAACCAACCTCACCTTTGTGCAGTTGAGAACCAACATCTCTTGTCTTTGCTTAATGTGTTAGGAAGTGTTCCTGCGGCTCCATTACTTGAGCAAGTGTTTGACAATTATTATTTCAACTGTTTCGACAGAACGATCGCTGCGGACCTTCGGCCTCGACCTTCGGCCTCGCATGCATCACCAAGTTTCACCAGCGAGCTCCTGGTACTTTGCACGAAACTAGAGTGAAAACTTGGAATATGGAACGGAAAATGCAACTTTCGTAAAATGAAATCTAATTCAGGGAGTTTGGCGGCACAGCAACGCTGTTTGGAGCCACTGGGAATAAAAGTCAAGAGAGCGAGGCGCCAAAGTGCGCTCGATTCGCAACATTGATGCAATCCCTGTCTAACTGCTTGCGCAGAGACGCAGAAATTCCATTGTGATGAAGCTCGAAAAAATATTTGCGTTTTAATCCTCTTCATCTTAAAATGCTTGGCTTCATAACTATTGTTTCCTCTTGTGCAGTGCTTGTTGCGGCTGCACGGGAGGAAACTACCCAAAGAAATATTGGCTTACCAGGCCTCTACGTCCAAGAAACTTTTAATCTGCCTGAGGAAACGAATGAGAACAAGCTCGTCTATAGATCGGAACATCCGGTGAGACGCAAACGGCGATCGTCACCGATCCGGGCTCAGCTAGCTGTCATTATGGCTACTATGCTCGCCATTACACTAGCAACAACCGTCTCCAAGGCAGTTCGATTAAAAGAAGCTAGGGGAGACGAGGAGACGAAGGGGCAACAGCCTGAAGAAAGCGCCGAAGACTTGGACTCAGTGAGTCACTACGGAAGTCGCGGGAGACACCCAAAAGCAATACACTTGTGGAGCGGCAGCATGAGATGTAGTAATTTCGCGGAAAGGTTTCATTTCCGTAATATCTAGCAAGAGGAACCGGGTGGCAAGGTCAACGAAACGTGCATGCTGCCCATCCACCTGTACACTGGGAAAAACGGGGGTATCGGTATCATATATTTCGAAGCTAGCTAGAAACTGCTGCTCCTTCCCTAAGAGTATTTTGGAAGCAGGAGCAGGCTGCACCTAATGTGTAGACGAAGGGAATGCCATCAAGGTTAGCCGCACGCGCCGACTCTGGAACTGCTTCAGCTGAAAAACAGAACAAAGACCAGGCTCAAAAGGCTTATCATTCGAGTGGCGAAGTTGCAAACATGACTACGAAATACTCGCTGGCAGAGCGCAATCACCCACTGACTAGTGTTGTGCTTACAGCGGATACCGATCAAGTGCTTTCTTTATCTAACAAACTTTGGAAGGACCATGACATCTGGGAGTGGGGTAAGATTACCTAGATATTTTCTGTTCGATTGGAGGTCGCTCAACACTGAAGCATGCTAGGCGTCTGCGAGTACGATGTGGAAGAGACGTTGTGCGTAGCAATGACGTAGTGCGAATTCGGGGTCATAGAGCCTCTTGCAAAGGTTGTAATCAAGGGAACACGCAGAAGGTACGGGCTAACGCTGCTTTTGAAGTTAATTGCACTAGTGAAAGGCTAAGAACTGGATGTGTTCGTCCAGGTGCATGGCACTGCTCTTGCCGATGGAGTGTTTGGGAGAGCTTACCATTTAAGCAAACTTCAACTTCTGTCGACACCGACTGAAGTGACGTACAAGGAAAGTGAGCTAGTTCAACCCGTATGGGAATATATGGAGTCGTGAATGCTTCCTCCCTGACATGGGCGAAAAAACGGAAGGCTATAGAATAATATCAGTCCTACATGATTTTATGTGGCTTTGGCGGACAACGACACGAATACGCATGAGCAGGCATTTCAGAACATCAGATAGCTCTGGACTAGTTGGATTTCTGACGCGAAGATCAAACGGAGAAGAAATTCCATCGGTACTGCTTTTGAGATGGCTGCAGTAAGCTTCCGAAAGATTGTACGATGAGCCTACAATAATCAGGATGTATGTTAGGTAGACTCAAGTAATTGGGGTTCCCTCGGAAGCTGTAATTGCAAGTAAACACACAAAAGAATCCGGTACGCCGAATGTTGTTCTACGGAAAAAGTTCCATTGCGCGTAGACTGCAAAATTCCGTACGCAGGAGCTTCGTAGTTAGCGATAAAACCCCTATTCCACTTTAACACACCTTTTTCGCAGAAAGTGCTTTCCCTAGCTCGTGTTTGCACATATCTTACGCATCGTATCTGCTACACGTCTTTCTAAGCAGTGCCAACTGTGTCTATGATGCTTTGGGGAATTAATCATCGGCGTTAGACCGTAGGCGTAAGTAACTTGCGTAATTGTGGTATGCTGGTCCATTGAATGGCATGTTGAAAGATGCGGAAGTAGCTAATATTTTAACGAATGCTTTATATGCTTAGTAGATTCTAGTGACGTGCTCTGCGATCTCACAGCGAATGCCGCATGGTCGATTTTACTCAGTTGTGAGCTGCTTGACTGCCGTCATTCTTAATGGCTTCATCGTGCTGTATTTTGGACCATAGTTTTATCACTATGCAATTAACTTGGTAATCTTTTGCTTTGTGCACTCAGATTCATTCCAAACACTTCTTGACGCAACGCAGGCAACTTAGTGCTATCCCTAGTGCCTGCCCGGCAAGCACAAATTGCTTTGAACAACGACAGGACACTTGAGCGGTGTTGTGCTTACCGCTGGTTATTGTGGTTTTGGAAACATCTGGAACTTCAAGACACCATCATCACTTCTAGAAGTGATGCGGATATATTGGAGTTCCTCACTGTACCTTGGTGTGCTTCAAAGCTTCACTTGTGCTCTTCGTGGACATCCCAACGTGATCTGCATACACTGCATACACTCCATAGCCGACATACAGCTTTCTGGAGTGCACAGGCTCATTCGTGAGTATCACCGTTTAGTGGACAACGATGATCAAATAGTGCAACCGTGACAGAGTAAAATCTATGGCAACAGCGTCTAAGTGAAGTATCCACCTGTATATAGTAGAACCGTTCCTGCTCGCGGCTCTCAGTGATTAAAAAGAACATGGTCTGGATGTTAAAGACGCGTTTTTGTTCTCTTGTCACATGGTGCCCTGAAGGTGGGAACTCGCCCAATATTAGACGCAGATGCTACATT